TAGAAGCCTCAGTTTGTTTTTCAGAGTCCATCGTCTCTCATGGTTCGTCTACCCCTCTGATTTCCCCTGCTTCATTCTTCCCCTCCTGCTACCTTCTTCTTCTTCTTCTTTTTTTTTTTTTCTTAACATATATTGCATTATTTGTTTCAGAGGTACAGATCTGAGATTCAACAGTCTTGCACAATTTACCAGTGTCATAGTTTTCTAAGAACCACCGTTTTCTGCTAGTGTAAGAGATTTCTAGCATAACTAGAACGAGATGTTGTGTACAGGCCCAAACATCAATAGCTTAGCTTTCATTTCAGATGTGAATATTCTCAGTATTTACTGAGTCACAGCTGCCTGATTTATGGATTAGCTCCTTGATGAGCCTGAATCCATTTGAAGCATCAGAATCCATTCATTCACTATTTGAAAAGAAGAGTCATTAGCCATGAGCAAAAAAGCAGTTCACCTCTGCAAGGGTCATAGATACTGTCTTATCAAGACCCAGGGCAGGTACATGCAGACTCCTAAGTTACTATAGCCTTAGAATGCCCTGCTTGCCAAAATGTATTTTATTTCTGTCATATGGGTTCCTAATAAAAACGTTTTCCTGGCTTTTTTAATAGTCCAAAAGTGAAAGTAGGGGCTCCTATCAGTTAATCTGGAACTTACCTTAAGAGCTTGTTTTTCCCCCCACATTTGGTCCTCATCTCTAAGGGCAGTGATTTAAGAGTAATGGAAAGTTGTTTCCATGAGCTCTTACTATCTGTCTGTATTTCATATTTCCTTGCAGCTGGATTTGATCACGGATCTTTTGGGCACACCATCGCTGGAAGCAATGAGGACGGCTTGTGAAGGCGCTAAGGCGCACATACTCAGGGGCCCTCATAAACAGGTAAATGGGAGGGCGGGGCCTGTAGTTTGTAACCACCTGGACAGGACTTCTCTTCCAACAGAATAATGACTTGAGACTTTTTAAACAAAAACATGACTTACATGTTTTATTTAGTCTTTATTTCACAGTCATAAATAAGAAAATGTTAAATATTTGTCAAACCAAATAAAATATCGTCGTTCCCAATGCTGTGGGAGAAAGTAAATGCTTCTGTAGCATTGTTGCCAAGAAATGACTCCTGGCTTTTTGTCTTCTGGTCTTTGATGTGTCTGGGAAAAGTTACTGGGGTGGAGCTTTCACTTCAGTGCCATGTATATCAAGATGTCTTTTCTAAATAGTGAGCCAAAATACCTGGTTTCTCTTATTCCAACCAGGAATATGAGGCTGTTTCCATTGCACTCTTACCACTCACACAGAATCAGGCTTGAATGCTTGTAGAAAAGAAGTATGAAGAGAGACTGCCAGATTTGTACTGATCAATATTGCTTGCAACCAGACACGTCACTGCTGAGAAAGACAAGAAGATAGGTAAACCACCTGTTGGTTTAGCAGCATTTTTTAGGTGGATAGAACAGCTTACTGATGTGAAAACTGAGCAAGAGAAATAGTTTTCCTCGGAACAACAAACTGAAACAGAAAGAAGACTTGATCAGGAAGACTCGGCAACTAATTTTCATGGGCTCTGCCTTGGTTTCTTTTAAATTAGGCATTTAGATGATCTGATTGATCATTACATCTGATTGATCTGAATGACCAAATGACAGACCGAGTTTGATACTCCTCTCAAATTACCAGCCAGACATTTAGGCAAGGCCTTGTGCCTTGCCCTTGCAGTTTCTCTCTGTAATTCCAGTGTGACTCCAGAGCTCCATTTTCACAGGCATAGGGGGCAATGGGTAAAGTGTGTTCTCTTCTAAAACCAGCCTGAACTAGAAAAATAGAGATGTTGACGCTGGTATTTTAAATAACTCCCTGCCAGTTTTATCTTTCTGTTGCATTTAGTTTATAAACTGAAATAATTTGAGCCCTAACTCTCTTAGAAGAGCACACAGTAAGTCTTAACCTAGAGGAAGCTCCTATATTAATGGAAGGAACTCAAAAGATCTATTATGTTCTATTTATTGGCCATTATCAGGAATATTAAAGTAATTTATCAATAATTCATGGTAAATGTGTCCTTGGAACTAGCAAAATAATTTTCCTCTTTTACTGACCTTAGGTCAGTAAATCTTTCCTGGCTAAAGGTAGCCAGTAATGAAATGTGATTAAGATCACATACCCTGGTGCCACCCTTCCATCTCTAGAGGAATTTTAACTATTGCTAATTGTTGCCAGCTAATTAATCCTTTGTGTCAGAGCTGCTAAACTGCAGCTGAGAGAGCAAGGCTTCCTAAGGAGTTTCCTGCCTGCCTTCTAGAACAGCTCAAAAATGTAACATACTGCACCAAAGGTAACTATGCTCTCCTTTGAGCATTCCTGACAAGTGAGTCCTTTACCTGTTAGAAATTTTTAAAAATCTGTTAGTTGTAAAAACCTAGAACTTTGAACTAAATAAAAAAGAGTTAAGTATCATATTATTGTCTAAAACAAAGGAGGGAAGAAAGGAAAATTTAAAGTCCTTTGTTTATTTAACTAGTTAAATAAGATGTTAAGCAGAATTTTTTCCTATACATTTTTACATGAATCGGCCTTTTAACAGTAATGCCTCTTAGAATTTATTTTGTTTATCATTAAGTTTAGTGATGGTCTTAAGAGAGCACCACAGTAAAAGTTAGGGATAGCCCTGGCTAGTCTTGGTATTGGAATATTTTGTTTTGGTTTTTTTTTAGATTTTATTTATTTATTTGACAGAGAGAGAGACAGCAAGAGAGGGAACACAAGCAGGGGAGTGGGAGAGGGAGAAGCAGACTCCCCACTGAGCAGGGAGCCCGATGCAGGGCTCGATCCCAGGACCCCGGGATCATGACCTGAGCCGAAGGCAGGCACTTAACGACTGAGCCACCCAGGCGCCCCTGGAATATTTTGGTTTTGAAGAGAAGACTGGTGGGGTGGAAACAAAGTAGGCAACCATTTTCCCTCAAAGGCTAAGACACGCTTTGCACAAAACTTTTAAAACGTCTTTTTTTTTTTTAAGATTTTATTTATTAATTTGAAAGAGAGAGCACAAGCAGGGAGGAAGGGCAGAAGGAGAGGGAAGAAGCGACTGAGCAGGGAGCCACATACAGGTTGATCCCAGGGCCATGACCTGAGCTGAAGGCAGATACTTAACCAGTTGAGCCACCCAGGTGCCCCATAACTTTAGAGTCTTATCTTTAGATGCTTTTAACCAGTACTAGAAATGGTCTCCTGAGACAGGTGTTCATGGTCTTTGAACAGTAACCCAGGTAGATTGGTATAGAGTAAGGTTATGCCTACCATATGTAATTGAATGTAAATAAACTTAGCATATTACTTAGTTCCAGTTTTCCCCCAGTATGGAAATTCAGGTTTTCATCTACATTTGCTAGTTGATCTTTATACCACTACTGCTCTCAAGAGAAGTTAGCAGAACCGTGAAGCTCTTTACTTAAATCATCAGTCAGACTTGACTTTTCCCCTCCCTACTCTCTACTCCTTCCCTTACCCCATGATGGATATCCTTTATGCCTCTTATTGGCCTGTTAGCAGCTGCTTGAAGGTATCTCCATTCACGTTTTACCTATTTAGAGCTGAGATCAGAAGACACATGCATACCCACACACAAGTATATTGGTGTGTAGCCACTTGGATATATTTTTTTAACTTTAAAAGATAATAATTTGGTCCCAAAATCAGTATATACACTATAGCTTGTGTAGTTCTGTACATCATGACTATTCTACAAAGGGCATCATTCTTAGCTCAACGTCCCACACCACATATATGCTCTGTTTATATTTCTTTGGTCTGTAGTGATGAAAAGTGCAGGCTGTGGTGGCAGCCTCAGGCTTACCACAGTGCACAACATGTTGACAGCGTCCCAGGAGTTGTATGCTACAGTTTTCAGACAGACTGAATATGAATCCAGCCTCAACTGGTAACTCACTTTGTGATCTTAGGTAAATTACTTAACCTCTGTGTGCCTCAGTTCATCGATCTATAAAATGGGAATAAAAATGGTTCCTACCTCATTAAATTGTTATGATGATAAAGAGATAGTACATGCAAGGAGAGCATAGAATAGTGTCTGACATTCTAAACATGTAATAAATATTAATAAATATTACCAATTAAAGTTATCACTCTAAAATGGTAGCTAGGGCGCCTGGGTGGCTCAGTTGGTTAAGCGACTGCCTTCGGCTCAGGTCATGATCCCAGGGTCCTGGGATCGAGTCCCTCATCGGGCTCCCGGCTCAGCGGGGAGCTTCTTCTCCCTCTGACCCTCTCCTCTCTCATGCTGTTTCTCTCTCGCTCGCTCTCCAATAAATAAATAAATAAAATCTTTAAAAAAATAAAATGGTAGCTAAAGCTTGTGATGATTTTTTTATATATATAACATGATGATCAAGTGGAGTTTGTCCCAAGGATGCAAAGACTGTTCACCTAGAGAAAATTTATTAATATATTTTGACACTTTGAGAAAAATCATGATTATCTCAGTTGATGCAGAAAAGGCGTTAGATAAGGTTCAGTCCTTTTTATGCATTACCATGATAGAAGTTCTTTACAAAAACCTATAGATAAATTTATAGATAAATATATGAACAAGGCAGAATGAGCTGTATTAACACATTACTAATTACGTGAGATAAAAATGCATGCACACAGAAAAAGCCTCTAACTTTTAGAAAGGACTCAGAATTCTCATTGAAGCTGCTTAGGCTATTGGAGGTCTTCACAGGGCAAGCTTTACCTTACTGTACTTACTCTTTATACCACTTGTGATCAAATTACTTGATATAAGAGTTAGATGAACTATATTTGAACTCATGAGGAATACTTCTAAAATTTCAATACAAGTTTTTGAGTTTGGACTATAAAAAGAAAAACTAAGCTTTTTTTCAAGTAGTTCCCACTTAAGTAGCTACTCAAAGTTAGATGGAAATAACCATTCTTTACTACTAATAATCATTTCTAACAATAATTAGAAGTTTGCTATGTACTAGTCGCTGTCCCAACCATTTCTTGTACATTAGTTCATTAAATTCTCACAGCACTATAATGTACCATTTGCTCCTTTTTACAAACAGGAGATGAAGGATTACAGAAGTCAAATAATAAGCTTAAGGTCATAAGCCAGATCTTAAAAGTAGGTTTCTCTACTTCTAAAACTTATGTTCTTAGCCAGTATGCACTGCCTTACACATACACCTCCACAGCAGATTTTTTTATTAATTTCATTTGTACATATGCAAGTAATATGTGAGTACATGTAAAATAAAAATTTTACAGTTAGTCATCCGTAGCTACCCCCCCACACACTGTCCCAGTCACCTCTGGATTAATTTGAGAATATCTTCCCAGACATTTTTCTATGCATTTATTTATATATATTTGTACATATAGAAATACATACTATCGTTTGTTGGGACTTCTTAAAAAATATAACCATACATATACAAAAGGAAAATCTAATTGCTATTTTCTTAGAGTCGCAGATTACTGTCTCAAATTAATTTTCTTGTGTGGTTGATTAATATACATATTCCCATATAGTGTATCAATCAGGACTCTTTTTGGATGAAACTCAATTAAAACTGGCTTAAGCAAAAAAGGGTTCTTACTGGCTCAAAGAATTTTCTATATGAAGTTGTTGGGCTACAACTGACTCAGGCTTTGCTGGATTCAAGTAGTCAAGTGATGTTCCGAGCCAGGAATCTGACTCTTCTCTGTTTTGTTTTCCTGTGTGTTGGCTTCATTTTCAGACAGGCTTTCTTTTTCCCTGTGTGTTTGTAAAAATGGAACCAGCAGTCCAGGCCTACGTTCTACTAGCATATCAATCCTTCAGGAAAGAGCTTTCCCAAATAGATAGAAAAAGTATTTGGAAGGTCTCTGATTCAGTTATGAATATGTTTGGTTATGAGCAATAGAAAATCTTGCTTACAGTGGTTTAAAGAAATAGGGGTTCATTTTTTTCTCATATCAAGAAGTCCAGAGGTAAGCAGCCTGGAGCTGGTATAGCAACTCATCAAGGACCTAGTTTTTTTTCTTTCTTTCTGCTCTGCCATCTGTAGAATATTGATTTCATACCCTCTTGCTTATCTCCTCCTGGCCATAAAATGGCTGTAGCTTGAAATCATATTCACATTCAAAGCAAGGAAATGGAGGAAAGAGGGAACACTAGTAGTATCTGTCTCTTTTATCAGGAAAGGATATTTTCCCAGAAGCCTGCCTAGCATATTTCTGCTTATATGTCATTGTCTAGAACTGTGTAACATGTAACCTCCCAGATGTAAGACAAGCTAAAAAAAAAATGAGTGTTTTCTGTCTTTTATAATAAAGGTAGGTAAAGGAGAAGAGGATTGGGGGGGTATGTGTTGGATTAGCCAGTCCATTGGCTGTCCCCCGTTTTAGAACATGTGTCTTTCCCAGAGCCAGTCAACGTGTTCAGGGCAATACTTCGTTCAGTTGGCCAGGCCTGGGTCAGGTGCCCATCCTTGGAGTTGAGAGATTGAAATCAAGCTCAGCCACTTGATTTTTCAGTGAAGAGGGAGTGGTTCCCCAAAGGTCAAGGAATGCTGGGCAGACAAAAACACCGTTTGGTATTTTTTATTTATTGTTTCTTTCCTACAACTCAAAATCTTGGATGAATGCAATCTTAGCTGCCATGGCCCAAGTACCTTTTAAAGTAGATACTTGTTGGGGCACCTGGATGGCTCAGTCAGTTAAGCTGCCAACTCGTGATTTCAGCTCAGGTCATGATCTCAGGATCATGGAATCAAGCCCCACATTGGACTCTGCACTCAGCACAGAGTCTGCTTGAGATTCTCTCTCTCCCTCCCCCGCCCCCCCGCTTGCTCCATCTCTCTAAAATAAATAAATAAAATCTTTTAAAAAAAAGGAAAACAGGGGCGCCGGGTGGCTCAGTCGTTACACATCTGCCTTCAGCTCAGGTCATGATCCCAGGGTCCTGGGATCGAGCCCTGCATCGGGCTCCCTGCTCAGGGAGTCTGCTTCTCCTTCTCCCACTCCCCCTGCTTTTGTTCCCTCTCTTGCTGTGTCTCTCTCTGTCAAATAAATAAATAAATAATCTTTAAAAAAAGATTAAAAATTTAAAAAAGGAAAACAAAGTAGATACTTACTGAGGCACTGACCTATTGGTAGGATTGAAAAGTCTATTATCGGCCCTTAGTCCTTCTGTTCATATAAGGTTTAGATTTTCCTTTTTCCTCAGATTGTTCCAACTAATTGCAACAGAAATACATGTAATATTTTTGCTAAAGTGAAAATAGTTCTGTCTCCTGGCAGGAACCATATCTTACATTTAATAGATTATGTTAGAGAGTTCATTCAATTCAAACTGTTCTTCAGGTCGGGATTTCTTGTATATAACCCCAGAGCGCTCACTATATAGTGCACTGCACACTGTGCATACTTAATTAGCATTGCTGACTGATGATCACAGCTTTTTTGCCGCTAGCTGAAAACTTACAGGACAGGACTCACACAGCCAGGCCAGCCTAGCCAACTCTATTGTGGTGACCAGCACTCTGCACTTGGCTTATGATGATTGTGACATATCATTTAGGGCCCCTCACCCAGGCCCAGAAGCTCATCCTTGCTTCATTTCTCTGGCAGTTAATCATAGTCATTAATGGAGTACTCTTTATAACCCTTCCTGTCCTTGTGATTCAGCACTGGCACCCACTCACTTCTACATTGCTAAGTGGCTTATAAACTTGCAGAATAAACAGAAAATGGACCGATGTGTCTTAAAGGGGAAAAAGTAATGGGTGTGAATGTTGGGGGAATTGACAAAAACTTTTTCCAAATGAAATATTTAGGGCATATTTCTAAGCATTCTGTTTTTTCTTTTATTCAGATTGGTTCGGTTGCACTTGATGAGAAATATAAACTTCTTATTTAGTTCTGATACTTTGTGCCTAACTGGTTTCAACCAAAATGGCTGGTGAATTAGAGGGGAAGAAAATGGAATTAGACATTTGGCATCTCTAGTATTGTATCTTTCCTGTGGAGCCAGTGCTAGGAACTAAATTATTAGTGGTTATCTTTCTGGAGAAGTGTTGGCATAACTGAACTGACTTCTTTTTCTCTGTGCCCCTTCTTTTTTTTTTTTTTTTTTAAGATTTTTTAATTTATTTATTTGACAGAGACACAGTGAGAGAGGGAACACAAGCAGGGGGAGTGGAGAGGGAGAAGCAGGCTTCCCACGGAGCAGGGAGCCCGATGTGGGGCTCGATCCCAGGACCCTGGGATCATGACCTGAGCTGAAGGCAGACGCTTAACCGACTGAGCCACCCAGGCACCCCTGTGCCCCTTCTTAAAATGCAACACAGAAACGCAGAAAAGGAGAAAATATAAGATGACTGGCAGTTCCAGGCTGTGGTGAAACTTAGCTTTATTATTAGTGTGTTTGTTAGGGTGTAATTCTATAAAGAAAGATAAGATGGGAGAGGGTGTAAAATTTCACGTTGCCTTAACATCCACTCATTTGAATTTCACAAGCTCCTCACGTATCCAGTTGTCCTCATGTCTTAACAAATTTTGCCTTCTAATTCATCCTCTATTCTCCATCCTCTAGAACTGTTTGTTCATATGTTTTCCTTGCCCATCCAAGACCCGATATTCATCTTTGTTGCTCCAACACCTAGCCCAGACCCTGGCATTTGGTGGATGGTCGATGATGAGCAGTGCTTTGGGTCGGTAGGCTGGTCTGTGCCAGTACAGTCTAATAGATGAGAAAGCTGAGGTTCTAGTGATTTACCTGACTCTAGTGATGGCAAAGTTAGAATTGGAACCCCTGTTCAGTACTCATCCCAATGTTCTTGTCCCTAAGCTATAACACACCTCCACCACAAAAATAGGATTAAGGCTGGATTCACTTAGAAAGTAGAAAAGAGGGTTTCCTGGCTGGCTCAGTCAGTGGAGCATGCGACTCTTGACTTCCCGTTTGTGGGCTTGAGCCCCATCATGGTGTAGAGATTACTAAAAAATAAAATCTTAAAAATTATTTTTAAAAAAGTGGAAAGGAAAGAATTGCTTACGGTGAGATATTTTGGTCAGTAAGAATTGGCTGGAATTTGGCTGCCAGCCTTCATAAGCCATTGAAAAAGACCAGCTATTTGCAGTCAAACCAAGAATCAGAATCTTTTTTTTTTTTTAAAGATTTTATTTATTGGGGCGCCTGGGTGGCTCAGTCGTTAAGTGTCTGCCTTCGGCTCAGGTCATGATCCCAGGGTCCTGGGACCGAGCCCCACATCGGGCTCCCTGCTCCGCGGGAGGCCTGCTTCTTCCCTCTTCCACTCCCCCTGCTTGTGTTCCCTCTCTCCCTATCTCTCTGTCAAATAAATAAATAAAATCTTTAAAAAAAAAAAAAAAGATTTTATTTATTTATTTGACAGAGGGAACACAAGCAGGGGGAGTGGGAGAGGGAGAAGCAGGCTTCCCACGGAGCAGGGAGCCCAATGCGGGGCTCGATCCCAGGACCCTGGGATCATGACCATAGCTGAAGGCAGATGCTTAATGACTGAGCCATCCAGGTGCCCCAAGAATCAGAATCTTTAAAAAATATCAAATTACTTCATTTTACACAATAAAGAAATTCTTAGGGAAAATAGGTAAATTAAGACCTCTTCTCCACACTCTCCACACGCCACTCCTTGACTAATACAGATAATTTCAGGGCTACCATAGACTTACATATTTTTAACAAGAAATAACTTCTCTATCTGCAAACAAATATTTTAGTGCCAATTGTGAATGGGTTCTATGCACATAATGCTTTTTAGCTGTCATAATCCTATCGAGTTTCATACAATTTTAGAACTCAAGTGAACTTCAAAGATCATTTAGCCCAACCACCTCCTTCTGTGCTTAAGGATACTGGGATTCTGACATGTTGATTTATCTAATCAGTTAGTGAATTAGAGCCCTCATCTCATCTTATCTCTGTTTGTCCTTGATCCTACAGAAAACTTCTATAAGGTGAATAATTCTCTCCTGATGATTCTGAGACACCTTGCTGCTATTCTTATTGGGTTTTACTATGTGGCTTTGTTGGAAGTAGGCAGACCTGTAAGACAGAGTTCACATACTTCCTTTGCACAGTTTCCGTGCTTGACTTTGCATGTGCCTATGGTTTTAAATATTTTTGCCTCCCACTTCCAGGCATGTTTGGTCTTCCCTTCTTGCCTGAAGGGAAGGTATAAGGTATAAGGCTAAAAGCAGTACCATATTTACAGGATTAGCTTTCATTTTTTGTAGACTCCTTTGTGAGCTAACCTATAATAGGTAATCCTGAAATATAAAATATTCTACTAGAAGTCAGTGACAGTTGCTGCTTGTGAAGATAGGTTAATGAGGGGAATACCCATTCCCTTTGAAGTTAGATGTATGTGCACACATCTTAGCTGGATACTGTAGTAAATTGGCTGTATTCCATATCTATATACACAAGATTCACATATTTTAATTCTTTATTTTTTACAGCCATCTCTTCCTGTACTTTATACCCTGTCTAGCCAGGCTACACATGAAGCTGTTCATCTCCTTTGCAGGATGTTGGTCTTTGATCCAGTAAGTAGTGTTTATTTTTATATTGTTTTAATGAATTAAAAATACATGTGTTCTAAGAAAAACATCCTGGCTTTAAATAGCTGAGCAATGTAAAGAATGACTTTTCAAAAATAAACTTCAGTCCTGTTTCATGTGTATCATCATGCTCACTCATTGCACAGAAGTTTGATTATTAACACATAAACATCTAGATGAAGAGAAATAGGGAACTATACCATCTTTATTTCTCTCAGGATTTGAAAAAAGAGTTTGACACCAAGGTAAATCAGGAGAAAAGAATTTTAACATTCTTGGGAAAAAATCTGCCCATTACATTGCATAAGGAACTGTTTACTCATTTGGTGGTTGAGATGGTAGCCTTATCAAATGCCATTTCTAGACTTGACTCTTCTGAGACAAAGTTCAGGTCTTCATTTATCTGTTCATCCAAAGACTATTTATTATTCATCTCTGTGCTGGTAACTATTGCCAAAGAAGACTCAAAAATGAAAACATTTAGAAAAGAACATCTTACTTGACGAGAGTACAAGGAAGTCCTCAAGTACAAAACACAACAGGTATTTAAAGGGGAAAAAAGTCACAGAAGTACCATTTATGAAGTTTACATTGGTATGTTCATAATGAGAAAACAGCTACATCTCAGGGGACAGAGTGAATTTTTTGTTCATTTGGTGTTTATTTTTTGGTTTCCATTTGTTTGCTTCAACATGTGAGGTGCCTCATGATATGGGAAGCAAAACAGAGTGGCGCTTCTTGTTTCCATACCCTCCTTGTGGTCAAGCTCCTACCATTAAGGACTGTTTCAACTACATAACTTGCTCAGTGAGCTAGTGATTTAGTGTCATTAGTTTGATTTTTTGTTTTATTTGGCAAGTTTATCTACATAGCTAAACTATGTATACAACAGGAGATGTTCGTACATAAAGACCTTTTACATATTTTTAATATATCTTTTGTGGTTAACAAAATTAGAACCACATGAACTTCAGGCTTCAGAGGTCATTTCTGTCTGCCTCTAGAGGATATTATAAAGGCCCTGAGGTTAAATTTTACTTTTATGTGTCAGAAATATGTTACTCTCTTTATTCTGTTAAGATTAGGGAAGAAGAACCATGTGATTCACCTGTACCAACTTTTACTTGCAATACTTAGAGCTATAAGGTGTCCTATTTCTCTGAGATCCCATGATTATTAATGATCCTGACCTGCCAGGAGTTCATAATCTTTACAACCCTAAGGCTGGAATTCCTAAGCCATAGAGTGGATACCAAGCATGAGAGGCTTTTTAGACATCAGTTCTACACATGAAATGTCCTTTTTCCTTAAGAGTGGGGTTGTCACACCTAATTAAAACGAAACTTTTGGTGTGCTCATAGTTATACATTAGATTTATCTATAAGAAGGAGGTAAGATTTATCTGGTTCAAAAAAAAAATAGAGGATAGATTCTTACTGGACCTATGCAAATAACTACATGGTCATTTAAAAAAAAGAATTCCATTAAGGCACCCCATGTAATATTTACCCATTTTTATCATTGTCTTATAGGACAAGGCCAAGCAATATATGTTATTTATTTACAGAATCATTTTAAATTGGCCTGATGCTTTTTTAGTTTCTGACTGATATTAAGGATTCTTTTCTTTCCAATTCTGAGGGTTCAATTAGAAATAGATACCATTTTTAAAGAGTGTTTCATTCTGATTTAACCTGTTAAATTGAAGGCTAGCGATACATTAAGAAGAAATGAGGTTTTTTAAAAATATCCATTAAAAATAGAACATTAACCATAATTAAATCAGTTAGTCTGAGTTAATTTAGTCCAGTTAGTCTGAGATAATTATTTAATTACTTTATTGATCTTGGGTTAAGCAGTCTCCTGCCACATGTCTGCTCTTGGACTGACACATTCCTGGAAATCCTGGCTCAGTTACTTGGTTTAGTCTAGGTGATGGTTGTCTGTGCTGGTAATATCAGCTATACCCGTAAGTTTGTATCCTGAATTCAGTAGTTGGGAGTACCTGGTGTAACAGTCCTTTACTGAGGTTCTTGTGACGTTTCTCATGGAAAATTTAATTCCTTAGCTTGTAGTAGAAGCCTTTAGGCAAATATAAGGAGAAAGCAGAAACCACTAGAGGATAAGTTTAAAGGGCTCTGGTTCTTTTATTGTAACACTATCAAATAGTATTAGAAAGGATGGGATGTAATAAATAATCAGTTTATAAAGATGTAATTAACTATTAACTCAAATAGTGAAGGCATTAAACAAACCTCCAGAGACTTTAATTTATCTAAATGCAGTGAATAGTTACAAGCAATATATTTTTAAAGCACAACAATAATCATGAGGAAGTTAGACAAAATTATTCACTTTTTTTCCTCTTGCCAAACATATATCTATTATTTTGCATATACATCTTCCTATCATCACATATTCTTTTATACTCTTTACAAAAATACATATTACTTTACCCAAAGATATTTGCATATCTTTTTTAACTGTTTATTGATGGCTCCTCTATAATGTATTAATGAAGAGCCTTTGTATATTAAAATTATGTTGTCCAGGTATCCAAAGACTGTTTATTAACTCAAATTAATTATTACCAAGGTTTTAATGTTTAACTAAGAATCAGATTAAAATTTAAGTTGACAAATTAAGTCCTTATAATTGTAGCATTCTAAAACTGATTTATTTTTAGAAACACATTACCTATTATCATTCATCTAACGTAGTTGAACACATAATTTTGTAATTCTGTAATCTTATACAAAGGGATATTAGTTTATCTGACCAGCAAAATCAGTAGAAAAAAAACTAAATTCAAAATGATTAGGCTTTTTGTGGGAAAACAAACCCAAAACTTATAGAATATTGTGGTGGCATTATTTGTACATGGCAGTAAAATCAGAAAGAAAACAGAGATATTTTAAAATTTTTATAACTATTAACTCAAGCTGATTTGTCCAGAGTCACCTTGCATAGTAATATCACATGACCTCTTTATCTTATACAATTATATACCAGATATTAAAACTTTTAAGTTAAGAGAAATATTTTGCTTTTTACTCTGTAACCTACTAACCAAGAGTATTATTTTAATTCGTGGTTAAAGCTTTATTTAATCTTTGAGTTACAGCTTTTTTTTTTTTAAGATTTTATTTATTTATTTATTTGAGAGAGATAGAGACAGAAAGAGAGCAGGGGGAGGAGCAGAGGAAGAAGGACAAGCAGACTCCACACTGAGTGCAGAGCCTGATGCAGGGCTCAATCCCAGGACCCTGAGATCATGACCCAAGCCGAAATCAAGAGTCAGATGCTTAACTGACTGAGCCACCCAGGCGCCCCTATGAGTTACAACCTTAGCAAGAAAAAATTTCTAAATAGCCAACATATTTAATACTTAAGGAAGAATAATGTTTTAAAAATCTTTTCAGGGGCGACTGGGTGGCTCAGTCGTTAAGTGTCTGCCTTTGGCTCAGGTCATGATCCCAGGGTCCTGGGATCGAGCCCCACATCAGGCTCCCTGCTCAGTGGGAAGCCTGCTTCTCCCTCTCCCACTCCGCCTGCTTGTGTTCCCTCTCTTGCAGTCTCTGTCAAATAAATAAATAAAATCTTTAAAAAAAAAAAATCTTTTCATTTCTTTGTAAAATGTCTTTAATGTGTTGATTGGTTCTAAAAGCCAGTTAGAACAGGAGTTTGCTCCATTTGCTTTTTAAGAGATCTCATAACATGATATATTAACTCCCTTCAGGAGTATACAAAGTACATCAATGTGTTTGCTTAGAAATATTTTTTATTTGTAAAATGGAAAGTTTCATCAGTTCTTCAAAACTAAAAGAGCCAACTCTGATAAAGCAACAAAATCCAAGAAACAAGTATCCACATCTATTATAAATGTTGATCAGTTAAACAAGGTATGTACAATATGTAATTAAGAATATATATGACATGGGGCACCTGGGTGGCTCAGTCAGTTGCATGTCTGACTCTTGGTTTCGGCTCAGGTCCTGGGATCGAGCCCAGTGTTGGGCTCCCCTGCTCAGGCAGGGAGTCTGCTTCTCCCTCTCTCTCTCTGCCCCTCTCCCAACTTGCACTCACACGTGCGTGCATTCTGGCTCTCTCAAATAAATAAATAAATCTTAAAACATATATATATATATACACACACACATATATGTGCATATGTATATATATATAGGACATAATTAAGCACCACTAGGTCCTTCCAAAGAACATTATTGAAAATCTGAGTAATTTTGTGATCTCTTTCTCAATTTATTATTTTTTTTTTAAAGATTTTTTTTTTATTTATTTATTTGAGAGAGAGAGAATGAGAGACAGAGAGCACGAGAGGGAAGAGGGCAGAGGGAGAAGCAGACCCCCTGCTGAGCAGGGAGCCTGATGTGGGACTCGATCCCGGGACTCCAGGATCATGACCTGAGCCGAAGGCAGTCGCTTAACCAACTGAGCCACCCAGGCGCCCTCTTTCTCAATTTAGTAAGGCAGTTTTTCTTTTCAGTGTTCATACCCATTACAAAATGACAGTCTTCTTTCTTTAGCCTTGTTTCAGAAGTTCTAAAGAGACATTAATTTGTTTAGAAAAATGAAAGTTGATCATTGATTGCATGCTAGGGATTTGATTTACTTTTTGTTCAAAGGCTTCTCTTAGGTAAGGTACTTTAGAGGACCCCATGTTGGTGCACACAGAATGAACAAACACAGAGCTTGCTATCAGTAGTTGGGATAACACCAAAATCTTTCCAACCCTGCATTCTGGAATTTTAGGAAATATCAGAACCCACAGACAAAAAAACTAACAGGAAAACCAGGTTCTGAGAGAGACCCAATTTCTCACATCTGTCACCTGACAGAAATGACTTAACGGTCAGATGATAAACTTAAACTCCAGATTCAACCACTGCTGCCACCAGTGTGTGCACGATTGGCCATGCTCAATCAGAACCAGAAGTAGATTTGTCCAAGACCCAGCTGTAGTGTGCAAAAGCCAAGGAGCTCTGTCCCTCACATGAGACCGGCCGGAGGCACTGAGTACTCCAAGGGGCCCAGTCCCAGGCAAAATGTACTGTCAGCCAGCTTGTTTCCTTTGGTTCTGATAATAGACCTTTATCCCAGTGGAACCTCCAGGAATAGCTGGACCCATTTAGAAAAAAAAGAAGAAGCTTACTTCTAAGAGTGCCAGTGAGTCAGGCTTCAGAAGGGTTGGATCACCAGATATACCATATGACAGGTAGTGAAAGAAACAAAACCGAGGTTGTCAAGTTTATAGTCATCTGTTCATGGTGGATAAACAGCAGCTTTCTTTTGTGATTATCATATCCTGAAAAGTCATGACATGCCTTTTAACATCAGCATAGCAAAAAATTAGATAAAAGTGGTTTTTTTGTTTTGTTTTGTTTTGTTTAAAGATTTTTTATTTTTTATTAGAAAGAGAGAGCACAAGCAGGGGAAGCGGCAGGCAGAGGGAGAGGGAGAAGCAGACTCCCCGCTGAGCAGGGAGCCTGATGTGGGGCTCGGTCCCAGGACACCGGGATCATGAGCTGAGCCGAAGGCAGACGCTTAACCATCTGAGCCACCCAGGCGCCCCGAGATAAAAGTGTTTTTAGGGAAACCAGGTTTATGGGAAATATTTAACATTTTGTTATTTGGGGGACTAGAACCAGTCAGGATGATCCAGTTATTTTTGGTTTGAGTACCAAATGGTTTTGTTTTTAATTGTGTTATGTGAAGTGCTTGATTATACTGGAAAAGGGGCAGAGTTTCCATTCTTGTTCTACTTGTACTGAGTCCATCCTTAAACACTTTAAAATGTACTTATATGTCCACTAAGCTAAAAAGAGGAGATTTTTTTTTTTTTTAAGATTTTATTTATTTATGTGGCAGAGAGAGACACAGCGAGAGAGGGAACACAAGCAGGGGGAGGGGGAGAGGGAGAAGCAGGCTTCCCGCCGAGCAGGGAGC